GAACATATTTTCTGTGCATCGGATCTGAAGGCTTAGCACTCCATAGCCTGGATCCACTTTTTTGTAAAAAAAACATGGGTCTGAACGGCGCTCAAATTGGTTTATTTTAATTAGTCTATTCTCATGACGAGTGCATAATCATAGATCAAATCGAGATAAGAAAAATAACCCGGAAATGGCCAAAATGGCACTTGGAAAACGCTATAGTTAGTAAACTTGTTATAAATTCCTGATACTACTCATTGGTTCAAATATGAGTATATATTAAAATGGTATTTGAAGTAGTGGATGATTTGAAATAACAGAATTCAGAAAACTAATCGGCCTATCAGAAATTATTTTGGCTAAACGAAGACAATAGTTGTATACATACGATTAAGGCATGAGGTAGGCTGAGGCAAGTAGTAAGTTCGGAGGTGCTTTTGGCCGTACTTAGGTATTTAGTTCACCATTTGAGGTTGCAACATATCAAGAAAATAATAGTATTTTAGAAGTAACGGAGTCTTTTAAAATTATTTTACAAGTATCTTCTGAAAGTATTGATAGCGACAAAATTAGCATTCAACAAAACTCAAAGACTATCCGCAAGTAAAATTCCAGCCCCGTTCCGATTATGCCTATCATTAACTGACCCATTATTGAGTATAGAAATCCCAAAACTTTTGAGAGGCAACCAAAATTTAATATTTCATGTTCTGTATATCCAGGACTTGATCGCAGATCTGAAAAGCGAACTCTCCGGCTGTTTTTCGAAGACAGTGCAGGCGATGATGCTTACTCGAGCGGAGCTATCGGCTAAGAGGCTCTATGAAGCAATTGATGGGCTTGGAACGAAGGAGAGCTTAATTATCGACATACTCTGTCCCGCAACCAATGGTGAAATGGAACTGATTAAAAAAGAGTATTTAAACCGTAAGTGACATTCCTTGTTTATGCGAACTTATTCCCTGAAGTGACCCACCTCGCCCACTTGTTCGTAGATCCAGATCTCTCTTCACTTTTCAAAGTTTTCTCTGTCACTTTCCAAAAATGCCAAAGGTTGTTAATGTACCACAATATATATATAAAATATAGTAAGATATAATAGTATAATAGAATAATGTATGATATACCATGGTTGAGTATATTTAATTCCACAGGAAAGTATGTGATAAACGATCGTCAAAAGATAATGATGGTTAGGTTTCGTTTAGACGTTAGGATTAAAGCATTCATTGAAAAGGCCGTCGGTTTCGGAAAAAATAGGCAGATGTGAATTTCAAATCCAACTATCAGTCCTTGAACCATCTTGAGCGATTAAGGCTGACTTTATTCTAACATGAGCTTTGGTGAGGAGCGCTACATGTCAGCCACACTCAAAGCTGGACTTAGCCAGCAGTTGGATAAAAAATGAATTGTTGAGCTTACTTTCACTTCGAATGAAAGTGTTGGGTGAAGAGATTCGAAGGTCGGTTCCAACAGAAGACGACGGCAGATTCCTCTTGACCAGCTATCGATTAGCTTTACTGGAACATTAATGCTGACGCTGTTTCCAAGGCAATCTCCTTCGATTTCGGTGAATAGGTGCTAAGCTTTCGTCCGTCATATGACGGACATCATCAGAGCGAGGTAACATCGTCACAACAGAATTCAAGCTGACGGAATCGAAGGGGATTGCCTCGGAAACAGCGTCAACATGAATCTTCTAGTAAAGTCAATCGACAGCTGGTCAAAAGGAATCCGCCGTCGTCTTCTGGTGGAACCGACCTTCGAATCTCTTCATCCAACACTTTCACTCGAAATGGAAGTAAGCTCAACAATTATGAAACAAGAGATTCCTCGAAACCCAACTTTTCTTCAGCACAAAAAATGACTCCCTCATACTAAATAAAGTTGATCAACTCAACTTCAAGTTAGCATATGACTGTATGTATCCTTGGGGTAGGTGTGTGTGTGCATATGCATCTGTATGCATTTGGGCTTATGCCCATATGTCCGTGTGGGTGTGTGCGGGTGCCTGCGGAGGCGTGGGCTCAGCCATGATAATTCAGAGTAGTTAGGACAGAGAGATGATGATATAAAAAAAATCCATAAATACTCTTACATAATACCGATTATCAGTTGATGAGTTTTGTGTTTTAAAGCAGATATTTTTATCAATACAAGCCTATACTCAAACAGCTTTCTTTTCGAAAATGTTTCAAGCATATTCTAAAGTTCATCAATTGAGCGTAGACAATTTTGACTTAATTCCCTATCTCCATTCTTTACATGGAACGCGTTGACTAATATGCTAATTACGATAGTCTCTCATACTTTTCACTTACCAGCAGATTTATTATATTTCTACCAGTAAATCAGTAATATGAGGTGTATTCACCCAATTTCGTTTAAGGTGATGAAGGACTGGTAGTAGAATTTTCCCACAAAGATATGAGTATAGCTGACGTTTCCATTAAATTTCACATGGTCTTGCTTTCCCAAAAGTTGTTCTCATCCAATCAGCAGTAGACTGCAGTTTCGACCTCGCATCGGTCTTATCAACATCCCCAGTGGGACTCTAATCATGACAGTCCAGCGTGCAATCTCGACACGTTAAGCACTCCGCCATATTGTCACCAGTTCCCTTGGGTCACAGGGTAGATGTGAATTTCAAGGAAGCCCAGGTATTTGTCCATATCACATTCTTTGGTAGGAGTGTCGATAGAGAAAAGTTATATTTGCCATAACAATCGACTACATTATTATTATTTGATTATAAGCAGAGCTTCAAGACCAACAGTACATCACTTATATGAGATATGCGAGGTCAAAAGTGCAGTCCGCCCTGGATGAGAACAACTTTTGGGAAAGCGAGGCAATGTGAAATTCAATGGAAACGTCATATCATTGTGGGAAAATTCTACTACCAGTCCTTAATCATCTTAGACGAAATAGTTTGTATACATCTCATATAACATATTTATTATAATCAACAAAGGATATATCTGAAGCCATTATATTTCGTGACCAGTTTATCGTACATTTTTGACCGCTAGATCCTTTGGTCTAAAGAAGCATATTTTTCTTTCGCTACCCTTAATTAAATGGAGTGGCAGGCCTACCCAGCATCAGGGCGGTCAAATGGACTCACTATTGCGTGGATAAAGGGTTAGATCTATCTAATGATGGGTAAGCATCCAAGGAAATCGTCAAAGTTTCCTTGAAACTAATTTTTCATTCACCACTTTAATAGATTTTAAACATAGGACATAGTGGCAAAATTAAGTGAGCAAATTTGAGTGATTTTGTTTTATTCTGTAACAGTCTACCTTAAAAAGTGTATTTATTATTAAACAGATGTAAGATTAAATCAAACGTAATTGTCATTTAGGCCAAGCCAACCCTTTATTCTTTTATTCCTATTATTTAATAATATTACAGTGAAAAACATTGTCTCGTAACTGTTTAGCAACAAAATTAGTAATTGGATCATCATCCACTGATTTCCTGCCCATATCTCTGCCAAACTTTGCTCTTTTCTTAATTATCAACACATCCAAAAATAGCGACTCCTTAGAATTCTTTTGCGTTTAGAGGCGCTATCGTCCTCCGAAAGTTGACCTCGCCAAGAGAAAAACAGAGACCGTTAGGCAGAATGCTCAGACATAACGAAGGGAATGCACAAAGAAAAGATGAAATGTCAGCTCGACTAGAAAAAGTTACAAACTACAGGCGTTACTTGTGGCTTACAGAACAAAAATACTTTTTTTCCTTATTCGTAGCCGGTGGTAATCGACTTTCTAGTTGATGACCTCGCTTACAATAATTCACACAAGAACTCTGAGTGGAGAGACCATATGTGAAATTTAAACCAAGTGGTAACGACCGGCTCTTTCCAGAAGAACAAATTTTCAAGTCGAAGAAAATGGACTTTGAACTAACTTTAGTGAACAAAGCTACAACATGAGGACAACAGTTAAATTTTCAACACTAGTCAGGGTTAGTCAATTGTTAAAAATATCACAAAGTGGGTGAATAAATTTCTACTCATAAGAAAATTAAGTAGCCTTAAAAGTGAGGCTTTGTTTAAATTGCCCCCTCAATGAGCTCCGGATGCCCCTCCAAGATTAGTGCTGGGGCTTGAATGCTGAAACAAACTGCCAAGAATTAATGACTTGTCAAGAGATCTTCTTCTGATATTATTTTTTCCCTTATCTACCCATATTAGAAAAATCATACGAATTTTCAACCACTTTTCTCGGGTGGGCCACAAGATTAGCGTCTAATATTCCTCTTTCTGCTACATAAATGGCTCGGATTTTTTGTCATGTGAGTTAAAAGCTTCCTATCCAGTCATGAATGTCATGCAGCTGGCGTATTGTCCAGTGTCCATCGAGTATGCATTTATGCCCAACTGTCCTGTGTTCGGTGTGAATCTTGGGGCAAAAAAATATCTCGCGTTCCCATAGCTTGCTTCGGGTGATTTGGGAATGATATTTGAATTATCTCACAAGAAAATCAGCCTTCACGACTCAACTTCGAGGCTCA